GCAAAACTCTCTAGAAAAAGAGTTAGAACCAAACACACCATCAGGAGGCAAGTAGCAACTCAAGAGAAGCAGAGACTCGCAAGCAAAGTTTGTAAAATTTTACCGCAGACTATACCAAAAAAAGTCAACAATACGGTATTTTATGCTGAAATCATGGTTTAACTATCGATCAATTATTGATACCACTAAATATCACCTACCAGTTTAACCTCCAATACTAGTATTTTACGGTTAACCACCTATAAGACGATTTGGTTTCACAAACCATACTCACAAGTCACAACAAGGACATGAAAACGGTCTTTATAAATGTGAACATAATCATCCAAGAAATGAACCATGAAGCGGTGACGGTATATAACAAGCCCAAGCACATGAAAACCAGGGTAAGTCGTCTATTGAAGTAGTAACAAGCAATCATGCACGAGAAAACCAGATTAAGTCGTCTAATGAAGTAGTAACTTTTTTTTATCCATATTAAAATGTCAATTTAATTTTTTCGCCATAAATCCTGAGGTCTTATTTGCACTGTCAAAATCAAAACAGAAGTTCTGAGTTCTCATGAATGAAAGGGGAGAAAAGAAGAAAAGGAAGGACACTTTTGAAAACTTTGCCTTGCCGGCTTACCGCACCGGCTGCTGATTGTAGTGAGCCTTCTCCTTCTTCTTCGCCGCGGCAGCGAGCTTGGCTCGCCTGGCAGCAGCCTCACTAGCAGCAGCCTTGGCGGCGGCATCTACTTCTTTTGCTCGACTTCTTCTTCTTGGCTGCCACTTTCTTCAACCGCTCCTTCACATCGACGCCACTGGATGCATCATCAGACTTCTCGGCTTCAGCAGTGCTATTGGCAGTCTGATCTGCAACACACCAACACTCCGAGACTGGTCCTCAGAATCCTTGTTGGCTTCTTTCGAGGTCTTCTCCTTCTTCTTCTTCTTTTTGGCACTCTTGCTCTCTCCCGGGGCATTTTCCTTCTTCGCTTGTCCATTGTTGTCAGCTTTCTTCTCTCCTGAAACATGTGCGAAAGCAGAGATTCATTTCATCAGCAGGAGCTAAGTGTTGTGAAGGTCAGATGTTATATTTCGGTACCACAATGCCAAAGATCAATATATGCTAAGGAGCTATGGATCATTCGAGAACGTTCAAGGAAGTTACCATCAGAGGCATCCTGACCACCCGACTCCTGTTTAGCATATCCTAACTCTGCAAGTACAGCATCAAGTTCTTCAAGCCCTTTTTTCTTCAACTCCTTTTTCGAGAGTTGCCTTTCTGTATCCTTTGGAGGCAAAGAAGCCTCAGGTTGCTTCTTCACAGGTTCCACTTCTGTGGGCACTTCAGGCTCATGTTCATGTTCTTCCTCCACATCCTCCACATCATCATCAACTTCATCAAGACCTTCTTCTTCACTTTCAGTTTCCTTCAAACATAACAGAATGCAAAGACAAATTAGACACGGCAATTCATGTACAGCCTGCAGTGAGTTTTCAAATTAATAGGTAAAATAATCAGTTCAGTAATGAATACATGATATAGTCTAAGTGCAGGCCCACATCATACCAGAGTGAGTTGCAAAATGCCAACTTTAAAGATCATTTTCGTGAACAGTAAATGTCAATGCCAATACTCTAGTCATTTGCATAAATTGGACCACCATAAAGAGTGGGAATTTACTCGAGACACCTATTTACTGCTACTAAGAATTGTATTGAATCTCTTGGCTTCTAGCATGGATCATGATTACCACCTCAACATATTAGCAGGTATAATTGTTCCAAGAAATCAAACTACAGATTTACAGTCATCCGCGGCAACTCCAGGCTAAGATATTAAAACATGTAAATAAATCTGTAGATACAGAACTCACGGTTAATTTCCAAGCAAAAAGATCACGTAAGGAAAATAATGAACCAACTCCACAGTCCTACAACAAGGTGGCACATTTTTTTCTTCAAAATAATGAGAGAAAGCAGCAATAGCCATGAAATGGATGCCGATGATGTTGAAGAGGAGGAGAGGATCACAAGACACTTTCATGATGCTTGATGACCGAATCTTAAGCAATATTGAGAGGGTATCCAGACTCAGCAACAATGGAACACCTACCATACACTAAGGTAAGGCATGAATGCCCATCACATGACATATCATTTCACTTAAATACCACAATATGCCTTCTAACTATGCATGGCCTTTTCATACAGAATATGAAAGGTCTTGAGGGATGCCATCAATAGTTTCCTCATTGCACAAAAATGAAACAGCTTGGTTCAGACAGTAAAAACTGTTTTCCTTATTCCTCCTTATCCAAATACCAACACGTATCGCTTCTCAATTGAAAGGTTTGGATGAGGCAATCTCGTAACGGCCTTCACCATATCAATTATGTGTCATGAAACCCTTGTGCCAACAAAGGTAAAAGATGATGCCAAATCTGACCTTTTTTTAACCAACAAGGCAACAGAAAGAGTATATCATTGAACGTATTCAATAACGGATCATTTGACACGTGTAAACTCCCGACTGTCAAAATACTGAAGGGATACCCAAAACCATGGCCAACATTCCAGCAATCTGAAAATGCCACCTATAGCCGAGAATCCGTAACAAAAAGCACGTCTGCTAAGTTCTACTCCCGACCTCACGTCATCAAGATCAGAACAAAATCATTTCCCGACATTACCTAGATATATCTCCACGCATCTAGTTGCATCACTATCTGAGAACAAATATGTCTTAGACAGTTCCTGAGCCTGATTGCTATGTTGGAGGGTGACAAACAAAAGAAACTGACTGTTGAAACAACTTTATCCATTACATACCAGCATAAGCCTATCCATACTCAAAAATAAATCCACAGTACTTCACATAAAGATCAAATCTGATAAGCATATTCTTTATTCTCTCCCACTAAACTGTATCATTCAGTTTCTCAAACATAAAGTTAAACAAGGCAATCACATTCTCTATGCAAACTATTCCATTCAAAACCAAGAGCATAGTAAACAGCATCAAGAAGATGATAGATAGCATGTTTGATATAGTACAGAAGCAGAAAGATAATAAGGATTTAATCACCTCCACGGCCTCCTTCTCCGACTTGGCACCAGGAGCGGCAGCCCAGGCTGTGGCGAGGGGGGCAGTAGTCGCGTAGTAATCGTCGTCATCCTCGTCTTCGACGTCAGCCCAAGATTTCGTCGTGAGCGGCGCCGGCGACCAGAACACCTTCTCCGCCGCCTCCTTCTCCTCTTTGTTCGATTTCGATTTAGACCGGTCCTTGCCGGAAGTCGCAGCGGAGGAGGAGCTGGAACTCTTCTTCTTCTTCCTCAAGGTGTCGAGCGCAGCGAACACATTGTTACTGTTCAGCACCACCTGCTCATTCTTCCTCCCGCTTGCTCCTCCCCCGACCATTTCCTTCTATCTCAAAATCCACAAAAACACACACACGATGACGAAACACGCCCTCCCTCCGGCTCCCTTTGAATCGAACGTTTTCGAGAGCTCGGATGGCGTTCGTCAATATTATGAGATGAAATTAGGGTTCCAGGGACCTGTCGGTTCAATTCGTTTCCCCCGATTGAGAAAGCAATACGAAGGGGGAAATGGAAAACAACGAAAGACGAAGAAACAACAACGAGCTCGCCGGTGAGAGGTTATTTCTCCGAGCAATCGCCCGCCGCCTCGAAGGGCAGAAGTCCGCGGTAAGAAATGCAAACTGGAAAAAATTATAGCCTCTTCAATGGCGGTCCGTGAACGAGACTATACTCTTCTGTCTTCCGCTCGTTCTCGCTTTCTCTCTCTATCTCTCGTCTGTTACCTTGGCTTCGGCACTCTCTCGCTCTACAGGTGGAATGGAAGCAAATTTTGTTTAATTAATTTCGATAATTCATTTGGCCGGTGGGCTGCGGGTAAAATACCTCGCGTTAGGGTGGGAAAACGGTTGAGGTTTCGCGGTTAAATCGATAACCGCACCGAAATCACGCGGTTATTGGTTAACCGCAAACCGGATAATTTACTTATTTTGCGATCGCGGTTGGAGATACGGGCTGGTTTGCGATTTGCGGTTTAAC